AAAAAATTATGAGAGTAAAATTTTTACCATGCGCGCGCACACCGACAGCCAATGACAGACATGATGAAGTACCTATAGATATTAGATACTCCACTATAAATCGACTGTGACAGACTGCCTCTGCGAAGCAGTGATCAGTTAAATCATGGTAAATCTAAAATTATTTACGTATTTGTTTTTTGATAGCGAAAAATTGTTAAAACTTTTCTTGAAACTTAAGACTACTTCTTATACATCCGAGTTTATAAATCAGTTCCATATAATACATATACATATATATGTACATGCTTTGCTTTGTATCGGCTGGCACCACTTCGAAAATATTTGATTAGGTATGTATAGTAAATGAAAACTACCAATCAGTTATTTTTAACTTTTTAGTGCTTTTTTTGAAGTCGGTTTTTATTATTTTTTTTTAGTTTTTATTTTTTCCTTTTTAGCGTAGACATAGTAATAGCAAAGTAAGAAGAAAGTATTTTAATAAAATATTCGCTTAAACCGTTTAAGTTACTTTGATGCCAATTTTTATACGAAGACTTACAAACTACAATTCGCTTTTATTAGTAACACTGAATATTCTGGCTCTAAAATCCGATTCTAACGTGTTAGGCTTGTCAAATCAAATAAAATAAGCCCAAACTCAAAGTATCTACTATTAGCCGTTGAAGAGTTTCACCTATCCACCTTCCGGCCTTGCTATCAGATCAGGACAACGATACCGAAACACTGCACTATCAACGGAAATAGACACATTTGCAAAGTTTCAAGTCAATATGACAATTAGAAGTAGGTTAAATTTATCATCAGCTATTTTTAGTTAGCCTTAGGGGTGGTATTTTTTTTTTTGAATTTTAAATGGGACCAATCTGGAAGTATACACTTTCAAACAAAACAAACATTGTCTAAATCGGTTAATAAATGACGGAGTTCTCAGGTAACAGACATAAAAAAAACATACAGCCGAATTGAGAACCTCCTCCTTTTTGAGGAAGTCGGTTGAAAAGTAATTCTATATTCTTATTGAGGGCTTTAGAGCGTGTCAGTTAAGCATTCGTTGATTACCTACTTTTACCTATTTCTAAAGTCACGTAGAATGGGAAGAGTGAACACAAGTATAATCGATAAGTTTAATTCAATTTATCTATTAAAAATCTGTAGTCGGAGAGGTTATAAACATACATGCATGTAATAATATACGAGGTAGATCTCTATATACCGTCGTTTTAACTAATCTACGTTCTACTATTATTATTAGAACCTAAGGTATGCACAGGTACATAATTATTTTATTTCCGTGTAGGTACGATAATAAATTAATACTATTGACTAGCATATACATACTTTCAAAAGAGTCCGCGTTGGTTTGAAAACATAGTAATGTACTCGTATCATCATTAATATCTATTTTTCTGCAAACGATAAAATTTCTGCAAATCCTTGATCTCATGGAAATCTATTTCTTCGATATACATAATTATATAGGCCTTTATGTGGCTTCAGTGATATAATACATCATACTTGCCTCATTATAAAGGGATCTATTTATTTTTAGCAGATTTAGCACGCAGACATACTTTTGCATCTATTATGTTTGTAAGCATATCAGTGACTAAGGATTAATCTATACATATAATAAACTACTAAGTCGAATCTGTACATTAAATAATTTTTGGAAAATCTTACTGAAATAGACATTATTATTGATACAGAGGCCGAATCTATAGTTTTTAGAATTTTTATCTGTTTGTCTGTCTGTCTGTCTGTCTGTCTATCTGTCTGTTACCGCGTCACAGGAAAACTACTGGACGGATTTTGATGAAATTTGGTATGGTCATAGCTGGTTATCCGGGTTAACATATAGGATACTTTTCTGAGAAAAAATACAAAAACTGCAATTTAGGAGTATACTAATATGTAAAACTTAAGAACATGGTTTTGGGTCACCTGAAGGCGGGCGGAGCCGCGGGCAAAGCTAGTATAATATAATTACACTTATTGACATGACTCTGACGGTCGTCAGCAATATTGTTATTATTATATTGGTTACGACAATTACAACCTAGATGATAAAACACTATGTAGTGTATGCATATGGATTTTCCCTGCAAGTTTTCTAGGCACATTATTAGGACCAGTTTATAATTAATTCGTAGAATTTTAATGTATTTAAATACCTAGTATTTTTCACATTCTTTGATATATGATGAGAAAATTAGCACAACTTACTAAATGGATATATACCTACGATGTATAAGTAACAATTTTTTTAATATATTCATCTTTCATTTATAAGTTATTTTCGAAGTAGCCCAGATAGATAATCTGAGCAAGCAAAGAAAGATAATGTAAGCTACTGAACCGTTAATGATCCGTTATACGGAAATTGTGTATTTATAAAAAGGGGCTTAATGATGGGAGATTGAAATTCCTTAACATTTTATTTTATAAATATGAACGATTAATTCCATAAAACATGAATTTAAAAAAATCAAAAACTCACAACATTAACAGCTGTCATGCGTAACCTGTGTTGTAGACTGTACATAGGCATTAAGTAGTTTATGAAGGTTACCTAATATTATAAAAAGTAAATATTAGAAAAATAAATTACGCTTCCATGCATTTTGCTCTGTCGCAAAAACAATAGCGATTAAGCGTTAAATACTGCCGTCAAATTTGACATTAGTATTTGCTCTAAAATATCATAACAAAAAATAGAAACTGGTCAAGTGTTAGAGTATAAAAGGATGATGTTCTCCTAGCCGATTCCGGCCACGGCGGCCAATCTCATTGAGACTAGCCAACTGCGCAGGAGATATTATAGTGCACAAGTGTACGCGCAGACACAAGTGCACTCTCTATTCCTGTCACTCTCATACTCTGGTGGGACGACCACTCGACACGACCAGTGAGAGTTAAGGCGCAGGACCGACGGCTTTACCTGCTCTCCGAGGCACGGGGGTGAAACACCACAAACTTCCCAACTCCGGACTGTTACTGAGACTTACTATACAGAAAGACTCAATAACTAATCTTGGCCCGACCCGGGACTCGAACCCAGGACCTCCGAGTGTGCAGCCGTACATGCTAGCCACTACACCACCGAGGCAGTTAAAGAGTATAAAATAATATATTTTTGAATTTCTTTACGAAGCAATCTGCATCTCAAATGTGATGTCGCTACGTTAAAGAAGATACAAACTAATAGACCAAATAGTGAAAAATAAATAAATAAGAAAAAGTAAGAATATATGTACCACAATTATGTATATATATTGCGGTTTAAAAGAGGACATACCTATCAGATGCAAACATAGCTCTCAATCGTTTTCCTGCACAGTTAGAGTAGTTATGACTGAAGTCCACTCTTTTATCGGCATCTGTAATGTAATATTCCAAATGGTAAGCAAAATCTAAATTTTATCACTTGTTTTATATTAATGAGATTAGATTATTATGAAAATAGTGCATAACCTTATTTATACCGATTGCCTTAAAGCAATTCATAATTTAACAAAATGAGATGTGCTTTTATTTTCGCAGTGGAACATTTCTATTTGTTTTCTTAAGTTGTTTACGAATACGCGCATTCGTTCTTTCTTTTAGCTAGTTTCTAAAGATATATGGTATTAGACTACTCCAAAATATAATGATTCCTTCTTGGAAATAAAAAAACAATGTACGGTACTTAGCATGGTACGATTAACGAATTATAAATTAGAAATATTTGATATCGGACGGTGCCAACTTTGTATATTAAAAGATAAAATTTGTAAAAATAATTGTCTACTTACCAAAAAAAAATTAACTTGTTTTGATTAGAAATCCTGAAAATCTATTTAAGTAACCTGCTGAAGTTTTATTAGTAAGTTCCGTTGGGCTTTACTAGCTTTTCTGGCCGGTGAGCCCCACATAACCACCGTATTAATGAAAGTGGTAAATACGTTTTACATTGTTAAAAAAAGAGGCAATTCGCCTTCCATAATACAATGAAATATTTAATATTTTTAATTGTTTTATAATTGTATATATAATTTATACCTAATTGTTTTATTTTCATTTCGAGTAATTTACTATTCAAATATTTGAGGTAATAATTCTTTCAATTTCTTGTTTCAGATTGGCGAATCTTTGTTGGTGTTGAATGAAACTATGATTGTAATGTAAATGTATTTATAATATATAACATTTTAACCCCACAGACTACTAATAAATAAAACATGAGTCGTTTAAATGAAAATGTAACAATGTTAAATGTGTCAAATGCTGTAGACCCAACCCTAATATTCGGTCCTCAACGTGACTCCCTCTACTTAGTTATCCCTATCACAGTAATTTACACTCTTATTTTTGTCATTGGTGTGTTTGGCAATTTTTGTACTTGCTTAGTGATTATGCGCAACAAAAACATGCATACAGCGACAAATTACTATTTGTTTAGTTTAGCTATATCCGATCTACTATTGCTAGTAAGTGGGATGCCTCAAGAAATTTATTCAATATGGTCAAAGTGGCCATATATTTTTGGACCTATATTTTGTGTTCTGCGCGGTCTAGCCGCTGAAACTTCCACCAACGCCAGCGTTTTAACGATCACTTTGTTTACTATAGAAAGGTATTTGGCAATATGCCATCCTTTTGTTTCTCATAAAATGTCAAAATTATCAAGAGCTATAAAGCATGTCATAATCTTATGGATAGCTTCCTTCGGCTTAGCGTTACCTCAAGCACTACAATTTGGTATTAGAGTACACAAAGGTGTCACAATGTGCTTACAAACGAGAGTTATTATTAATCACTCGTTTGAAATTTCAACGTTCTTTTTCTTTTTTGCACCAATGATTGTGATAACTGTATTGTACTCTCTCATAGGAATTAGATTAAATAAATCTAATTTAAGTAAAGAACAACAAGTAGGAAGTCAGCTTAAAAAAAATTCGAGAGTTATACATAGGATACAAAGAAAAAACAGCACTCAATCAACCAAAAGAGTTGTTAAAATGTTAAGTAAGTATGGTTTTAATAATTATAATATGATATTGGTTTATTATTATTTAATTTAAAACATTCCATCTTTCGCATACGTGTAATAACTTCCGTTTTCTCCATAACAAAATATAATTATTCGCTTTATATGGTAGTTGCTTTGATTATATAATGTTATATAATCAAAGGGTAGTTGGTACAACAGCAAGTTGTAACTTTTCTATTACCTGCGCGATAAAAAAGTTTTTATAAGTAGGTAGGTACCTACTGTAAGATGAACTCGCGTTAATACACAATGTCTTTTAATTCAACTTGTAATTAATGTAAACTATAAAGCAAATTGATATTAAAATGTAATTGTCGACGGGCAAAAGACTCAATAATTCATCAAAACACACAATACCTAGTTGACTATTTACCGCCTGGTTGTTAGTATAATATCATTTATCGCGCGTTAAAATATTGTATATTAGTTAGTACCTATCCATAATTGAATAACGAGAGCAGATAATTACTATTTTAAACAAAAAAATTATTATCGAGAACCTATAATTATAAATAGATAAAATTGATGATTTAAGATTTTTTACTTGGTAAACTACAAAGTTACCCAACTACTTTACAGTTGCTGTTGTAGTGGCATTCTTTGTGTGTTGGGCGCCTTTCCACGCTCAGCGCCTTGTGGCTATTTATGGGACGTCGGAGAATCACCTTGCGAAGTCACCGATACTCCTCTCAGTCTATTACTTTCTGACGTACACGTCTGGTGTATTTTACTACATGTCTACATGTATTAATCCGGTTTTTTACCACATCATGTCGTACAAGTTCAGAGATGCTTTCAAGGTAATGTTTATTTTTTTGTTTGGTAATAAAAAATTAACATCTTATTAGAATTCCGTAGTAATAAATTAAAAACGGAAGCCTTATAATTTCTTCATATTCGTTTATAAATTATAACAGATATCTTCAACAGAGATCTTCGAATACTATTATTACTATTGATGTTGGATAGTATGTAGGCGTCTCACATAACCACTGGACAGTTTTGTACTTAAATTAATTATTATTAAAATATAAAAATTTGGCTTGATCTTAAAATAGATCTTTAAAAATGAGATCCATTTTTCTAAACTACATTCAATTGAAGCTAATAGTTGCCTTATTTTATTCTTAAGTCGAATCTTTTTAAATTTTAATGTTTTGAGTGGAAAATTCTTAAAAACATTGAGTTAATAGACCTTTCGAAACTACAAGTTTTTACCAAGTGTACCGTAGCCGTCGTGCGTAACCTATGTTGTAGACTGTACAAATTAAGTACATAATAGGTATTCGTATGTGCCAGTAGCTATAGTGTTAATTAATGTGCATTCTACAACACAGGTTACGCACGACGGCTATTGATAATGTTCTATGTAATAGTTACGAGTATTGTGGTAGTGCAATTATTGACTTCATTCAGAATTATATTTAACTGTTTTTGGAGAAATATATTTTTATACCCTTTTTACTTTACTCTTTTATACCATACTAAAGGAAGATTTAACGACTAACTACATGCTGTAGTCTAATTATTGGGTTGGCAACTAAGTCATTGCGGATTTTGTCAATAGGTGGTTTTAGCAGATTCTTTTGTTTCGTTAACGTGTTCTAAGTACCCTACCTATATACATATATTGTTTTCTTGTGATATGGACTTCCACCTTTAATTTAGTATAAACATTATTTAGTTTACTTTTTATTCAAATAAAAAAATGAAAGAACTGATGCGCATTTCATACTTACATATTTTATTGCATTATTTTCGAAAAAGTACGTATTGAAAGTTATGGTTCGAATAGGTTCGCCAAATTTCGTTCTGGAGATTTTTCCCTTAAACATACGTAACTACCTGGCCGTTCAGTTGATGTTGATGAGACCTATATCCAGTAGCGGATTTAATCTTAGCGCCGCCCCTGGGCATAGTAAAAACTGCCTAGTAGGGCACTATCGAAATTTTGAATAAAATGTTGAAAGTTTAATTTATTTGCTTATAATTTTTTTGAAAAATGCAAAGATTTATTTACTTTATTGTAAATTATATTAATTTTTCAAAAAAAAAATGTACTTACTAGTTAATTTTTTTTTATTTTTTGTAAAAAAAAAGCATTTTCGATAACGCAAAGAAAAAAGTTTTTCCGAATTTTGTCGCCCCTAAAAATTTACCGCCCTGGACACTAGCCCCGAGTGCCCCTAGTGTAAATCCAACGCTGCCCATATCAAGGCAATTATTAATTTAAATCGTCATAGCACAACATGTGAGATTGCAGAGAAGCTCAATGTATCGCATACATATATTAAAAAATAAATTAAAACATCTTAGCTATGTCAAGCAACTCGATTTATGGGTCCCTCATCAGCTCAAGGAAATTCATTTCACGCAACGCATCACCATCTGAGATTTGCTTCTGAAACGCAACGAAAGTGATCCATTTCTGAAACGTTTGAAACATTCTGGTGACGAAAAGTGGATAGCTTATAACAACGTTAATCGGAAAAGATCGTGAGTGATGCAAGATAAACCAGCCCAGAAGACACCAAAAACTGAGCTTCATCAAAAAAAGATTGTGCTGTCAAGTTGGTGGCATTATAAAGGAATTCTGTTCTTTGAACTTTTACCAAGCAACCAAACGATTAACTCAAACGTGTAAATGAACGATACAGTTTCAGAAAAGCGGTCAGAATCGGCAAATCAAAGGATGTTGTTTTTTAACATCATAATGCAAAGCCCCACACATTTTTGGTCACTCGTCAAAAATTATTGGAACTAGGATGGGATGTGTTGTCACATCCACCATATAGCCCTAAACTCGCACCTTCAGATTACCATTTTTATTTCGTTTAATGCAGATCTCTTTAAAGGGTAAAATTTTTAATGACACTGATGATGTTAAATAACATTTAATTCAGTTTTTGACACTGCCTGCCTGACAAAAGGTCATCGATAAAAACTCACAATACCTAATAGAATAAAGTTATATGTTTAAGCATTTAAAATACGCAATTACTTAGTGCCAACCTTAACATGTCGCTGTGAGCGCGCATCGTAAAAAATCACTCAGCATTTTTTCCCTAACGAGCCAAAAGAAGTATAACTTTAATTTTTCTGTATTAAAGTTCTTATCCACTCGTTGGGCATAAAGACTCTATAACTTTTTAAATGAACCTTTTAAATGATTTGACTCGGAGCGGATAAGACTAACTGAATGGCCGAACCTTTGTATAGCGGACTTACGTTTTAATCATTTTGAAAGTATACAGATACGAGTCGTTTAGGTTTATTTGTATAAAAGTTACAAAAAATCGCGTCAATATTAATTGTGAATTGTGATTAATAATTTAAATACAAGAAATATGTTTGTAACAAAAACTAATTATTATTATTTAAACATATAGAATACGATGGCGCAATGGTTTTGCCGCAATTCCAACAGTGCATTGAAGCCACGCTGCTCCTACACTACGATGCCTATTTCACGACAAAAGACACCCAGCGGATTGCATTCAGGTTATAAATATATATATATATATATAGTTAAAAGGAGTATTTTCTTCTTTGTTTGCAATTTGGAATAATTTATACTTTTTCCTAAGACTGCTTAGCGAGAGGGGGGAGGCGGGAGGGGGGTCTGTATGCAGGTGGTATACCTAAATGCATTTCCCATCGTTAAAAAAGGCCAATCTAGTTGGCTTAAATACGTTAGGCTTAACTAGTGTGGCCCAGGCCAAACTGATTGAAATAAAAAGTGACCTATACCACTCACTCCTTCAGAGGCCGCGTCCCATATACTAAACAGCCGAATAATACCTCAAAATCAGTTCGACCTAGGTCAAACCGCCTAGGTTAAGCTTTAAGTACTATTTAGTATGTTGTCCGGGCTGAACTAGTACATCCTGACACACTTTGAATGAACCGGTTTGGCCTAGGACAAAGCAGTTTGGCCTGAAATCGGTTCTGTCCGGTAACAAATATATCTTTGTTTAAATACTATGTATATTCTTTTAACCTGTGGCTTTTTTTTTAAATATTAAAGATTTATTATTATTTATGTGCAGAACACGTAACGCAGAGAGATAAAGACTGGAAGCTAACTTACAAGAGGTCTGAAAGAGAAAAATCGACTTCACCTCGAGTGTGGAAAATTTGTGAGAGGTGCAAAAGGACAATGAAAGCACCTGACTTAACGTATGACAATATTTGTTCTCACAAGTTACAAACTAATTTAAACGTCGGAAATTGCATAAATAATCGATGAAGTATTAGACTAAGTGAAAAATTTGTGCATTGCTCATTTTGATTTATGTATTTGTAAATCGCAAAGGAAAGCCTGATTAATGTGACGTTGTTGTTATATGTTTTATTAACTAAGAGTATATTTAAAAACAGAACCATCTGTTTTACCTTTTTTAAATAATGTGAGTGAAAAATCAAGTTAACAAAATGTTTTTCTGTTAAAAGATATTGAAAACAAAGTAAGACAGGGTATATTTACGTACATAGTATTAAGCTCACTTACACACCTTATCAGTATAGATTGTTGTCAGTTGTAGTACTTTTTATTTAGACAATGATATCAACCTGTGTCATAAACTTAATTGTTATTGATCTATTTGGCAGAATATGAGTATAGCTGACTGTATAAAAGTAAACTTTCAAGATTGTAAATATTTTATTAAAGTGTGTATCAAATATTTTATTAAAATAAATATGTTGGGACATTAATACACAGCAACATCTAGTTCCATGTTAAGCTACGAGGCTTGTGCTATGGATACCAGATAGTGGATACACTACACTATATATTTTTAAATACATACAATTTATAAATATAAACACCCATGACTGGAGTATAAACATTCGTGCTCATCACACAAATGAATGCCCCCAGCGGGACTCGAACCCGCGACAGCTGGCACTACAAGTAGGGTTACTACAAACTTAGCCAAATGTCGTGTTTATTAACGTATTAAAAAACGATAATGGATAATTTTGGTTAAACTCCACTTCTCATATTTGTTTAACTGTTTAAAAATTTTGCGACGTAATCTTAGGAGATGAATATTCTAAAATGTTGTATCTGTTAACCTTATTTTACTTATTTATAACTAGAAACTTAAGCGTGAAAAACTGAAGGACAGACAAAGAGGCAGAGTTACTTTTCCATTTAATATTAGTATGGCATACAAAGCTGGCTTTTTAGTGGTGCCGGTTTATCAGCATCGGCTTGGGCTGAAATTGATAAGTAACGTCGCTAGTATATAATAAAAATAATTATTGTGTGTGTTATAACGGAATTTTCTGAAGAACTTTATAAGAGTTACAATTTTCTAATACATTGTTTTGATGTATCTCTTAAGGCTAAGCCAGCGTCAGCCATATAAATTTCTAAGGACGACTCGATAGAACCAGTTATTGTGATTTCCCGTGGAAATAAAAAAAATGCCTGTAGTAAATGTTGACCTGAGTAATAAGTTATTACTACATAAAATTTAGTTAAAATCGGTTTAGTACTTTTTGCGTGAAACGCGCACAAACAAACAGACATACAGACAAAAAAATTAATAACTATTGTTTTGGGGTCTATGTCATGTACATAATGTGTTACAGTATTTTTTTTTTATATTTCATGTACAGATTTCGCTAAGTTACTGCTTTATTATCTGGTTTGAAATCATTGGGCTCGTTCATGTTGCTAAAGTTTTAGTGAAAAATTATTAATAATTTGTAATAAAATAAAATCAACCTACAAATAAAATCACTTTATTGATTACTTATATTATGTTTAAGGAATAGCGACTATATCCAACTGTGAACCAATGGTATTTTCAGAATTTTGATTTCTAAAAATGAAATGATATAGTTCAGTGTTATCTTCATCCTGTAAACTATGCAGAAATAGGTACACTAAGTAGAGTAACGAATTATTCCGACGAAATTTTTTTGATAGTTGGATTGTTCCAACTCTAAAAACATAGGCAGACTATTGGATACTATTTTAGTATAATATTGCAAATGTTCCTACTTCCTATCTAAATATATATATATATATATATATATATATATATATATATATATATATATATATATATATATATATATATATATATATATATAGTAACTACTTTTGAAAATAAACTTTTAAATGTTGATATAAATTAAAAATATATTGTTGATGTGTATACAATAATTCTGTGTTAAAATAAGATTTTTAAATAAAGTTAGTATTTTTCCCTATATTTCAAGATATTATATTTAAATTAAAAGTGCGCAAGAGAAACGAAATATTATTATAAGTTATAACATTAGATGCTATGAAATATGTATTATTCACCCAATCGAATAAACTCAAATAGACATTTTAGTTAACATTTTGTATAATACCAAATTCAGAAAGTTTATTTACACAACTTTGATATGCATATATTACTTTTGGTATATTTTCTAATATAACTTTTGGTATTTAAATTTCGGGAAATCCCAATTGGAGTTCAAAATTCCAAAAATCAAAGCTTATTATGTTGAACTAATATGTTACGGTAATTGTTGTTGGAGATAATAAACAAAATGCATAATAAAAGGTGTATTATTTTATGTCATGAAATCCGTTTCAGATATGACCGGACGCGACGGTACCAAAAATGTCCGTGGGACAGTCAAAAAACTATAGTAACATATACAGCTTAGTACACAAAAACTACTGATTGGATTTTGATGAAACTTTACAATAATATAGGTCATAAATCAGAATAACAAATAGGTTACTTTTTATCCCGGAAAAATGTACGGTTCCCGTGGGATAGATGTTTTCGTTTATTTGTAACGTATTATGTACACAACATAGACCCCAAAACAATAGTTATTAAAAAAATTGTCTGTTTGTTTGTTTGCCTGTATGTCTGTTTGTTTGTCTGTTTTTGTATGCGTTTCACGCGAAAAGTAATGAATTGATTTCAACGAAATTTGGTGAAGTGAATTATCACATATATTAATATTACTCTAATCAACGTTTAGGATACCTTTTACTTCAAGAAAATTGTTCTTTCTCACGGGAAGATACAATAACTGGTTTTATCGAGTCCTCCCTAAAAACCTTCCGCTGGCTAAACCTTAAGACATACATAAATTAAAACAATATACTAAAAAATTGTTGGTCTTGAAAAGTCCTACAGGAAAGTTCTGAATAGTATATGTATATCTCCTAAGCAATATCTATTCTTATCTATACCTATAATAAAACTAACTTAGTCAAATCGATGTGTGCGTTTCACGCAAAAAGTACCGAACCGATTTTAACTAAATTTTGTATAGTGATATCTTAGTAGGTACTCGGGTCAACATTTAGGATACCTTTTACAACAGGCAAATTATTCATTCCCACAGGAGAACACAATAACTGGTTTTATCGAATTGTCCTTAGAAATTTATATGGCTAACGCTGGCTCAACCTTAAGAGATAGATAAAAACATTGTACAAGAAAATTGTAAATCTTGAAAAGGTCGATAGAAAAGTTCTTAATAGTATATGTCTATCTCCTAAGGTACACTCGCTATAACTATTTTCATTGTTATATATTACTGTTTTATTATACATTATTTATTCTATCAATAAATATAATAAAACTGTAGAGGTCGAATGTCTGTACATAGAAAAAAAATGCTATAAACTGAGTCAGTTATCTTCTTACGTCACGTAGGAAGAAAAATAGAACAAATCTAGATTTACTCAATTTTTTATTTTTCTGTCTATTTGTCTGATTGTACGGGCTAATCTCCGAAACTACTGGACCGATTTAAATGAAATTTTGCATGGTGGTACCTTATATCCTCGGTCAATATCTTAGATACTTTTCATCCCAGAAAATTAAAGAGTTCCCGTGAGATAGTTAAAAAACTATAGTATCTTATACAGCTTAGTACACAACAACTTATGTACCTAATTTAGTAAAATTTAATATTCTGATACCTTATATGGCCAGCCAAACAACAGGTTACTTTTCATCCCGAAAAAATGAACGGTTGCCGCGGGAACTAGTAGATCTCTATTAGTGTTTTATCTCTATTAGTGTAGATCTCTATTAGTGGTGAGCCGCTAGTATAATAATAATAATAATTTTATTGGAATACTTTTACAATGTTATATAATATTTACTAAAAAATTACCAAGGACACAATACAATTTGGAATCTACCTGAACTATGTTAATAACCTGTCCCGGGGGAGAAGCCAACTCCTAACCGGGCGCATCCCCCAGGTGGCGGATAGGGGCATGCCACCTGCTTAGGGCCGGCGGGTGGTACCGGAGAAATCTGGCACGGACCAAATGGCTTGGTGGGGGTCGAAAGCCGAAAGGTTCGGCCGAAGGCGTTGCGGCCACCGGTAGTGGGACCGCTTTGGCGGTCCCGCGATCGGATCGGGGGGTGTCGGTTGCGGGACTGTGGTGACTGGCGGGCCTGCGACCGGCAGGGGTGGGGCCGCGGCGGGGGAGGAGTGCCGGTATTACGGTGCGCCGCTCTCCCTGCCCTCCGCGGCCTCGGCGGGGCCGCCACCGTTAGATGGCGGACGCGGTGGGGCTGCAGGGGAAGAGGAGTGTCGGTGTGTCGTTGCCGCTCTCCCTGTCCTCAGCAGCCGGATGTGGGGTGGGCCCACTTCGGTGGGGGTGAAGGTGCCAGAGGGCGGTCGACTTGGGGAGGTTGGCCGTCCAGTGTTCTGGCTGAGGAGGCCGTCAGGGGTGGTCGACCATCTCAGCCCCTGACTTTGGGACGGGCAGGCACTCGCCGTCGGGGTCGCGGAGGAGTCTTTCTGGTGCCCGTGGCCCAGGCCTTAAGGCGAAGGACGTGTGTTTGTCAGGTTTTTTAGTGGGTAGGCTCCATCCATCCATCTTTGTGCGGCAGGAGCCCCACATAACCCGTCTGGCATCCCCCATCGGCGAGCGGGTACCCGGGAACAGGGTTTTTCCTGACAGAAAAAAAAGGTTAACAACCTGTGAAACATCTACCTATTTTTACCTACCTATAGATAATTCACTGCACACGGCTTAAGTAAAATTGTTTCATTTGTCCCTGGTGTACCTGAACGGATTTTAATTACATTTTGTTTAGTGATAACGTAGTATTCGAGTTAACATTTAGATTACCTTTTACCCAAATGGAATTGATGGAATTGGAAGGAGTCCCACGTGAAAACAATATAACTGATTCGGCCGAGTTGTCCTTCATACAGTGATTTATCACACAAAAACTATTTACAGTAACA